GGAGACAAATGTGGCTTAGCTTAGTTTGAATGCGGGGTGATTGTAGGCGCTTGAAGTGTCGGCACCAGTACCAGCAAAATGGCAGCTTTTGTGAAGTATTCAAGAGCAGCAGTTATAAATATGTGTAGGCAGGAGACTACCGGGTCTCAACGCATGGCTTGTGGTCGTCACAGGCTAATGACCGCTCAAGCTGAAAGGATACTTGCCAGAGTTCTCCAGTCCAACAGAAGAGCAACAATACGTCAAATGATTTTAATGTTGTTTTTGAGCAAATTATCCGGCCGCACATTGCACCGTATAGGCTACGGGAGCCAACGACCTGTTCAAAAGCCTCTGCTGTTACCCTTGAACAATAACAGACGTTTCCAGATAGCAAAGGAGCATGAGGATTGGCCAGTAGATGACTAGAAAAGGGTCATGTGATCTGATGAATCGCGTTTTCAAATACACCATGCACATGGCAGGGAACGGATATGGCTTAAACAGCATGAAAACATGGACTCCTACTGCATTACCACAACACTTCTGGTTGATGAAGGCAACCCTTTGGTTTGGGGGATGTTTTCTTGGCATTGCATATGGCTCCTTTGATTTCTGTAGAACAAAGGTTAGTGTTTTCGCATCAAGCCGGGGATTGAAAGTTTCAGCAAGACAATGCTATCCTTCATACAGCTATTATTATTGTCAGATGGTTCGAAGAACATGACGTTAACTTTACATTGCTTCGTTAGCCCACGCAATCACCAGATATCAATCCGATTGAGAATTTGTGGCATGAGATCGAATGGGGCATCAGAGCAGTGGCATCCAATTTGACGGAACTGACAAATGCAGTTCATTGTATGCGGGGACAACTTCTTCTTTCCATCTACCAACATCTCATAGAATCTATGTCAAGAGGAATTCGAGCTGTATTACGGGCTAAAGGTGGTATTGAGGGGGTGGACATAATAATTTGGCCACTCAGTACCTATATATACATATAGAAAACAATTTTACCATAAATTTTAGCAAAATAAGCAGGGAAGACAGATTTCTTTACAATTTCAGAAAAAAAGTTTATTGTATTGTTTTTAAGCCTTGGGAGAGGTACGAATTACTCACTAGGGATATATTAGAAAAAATGCCTGTCGATGAGATAATGACACTAAATCTCAAAATATTAATGTAGGAAATACGATGCAAGTGCTTTCAGGGTAAAGGTACTGCTCCTTAAAGTAACACCAGTATAGAGAATACAGAGAAATGGCTCTTTCCTTTAAGAAAATGAGGGTTTTAGGCAAGTGTTGGACAGGAGATGACCCTGCAGGGTTATTATAAAGGTTTTTCTAGTTTTTAATTGAAAAACCAAATTCATTTTGTAAATGTGATAAAAGTATACATTAACTATATTGTTAAGTATTCACTTGCCCGATTATCCTTAAATAGTTGCTTTATATGCTCGCTCAATATTTTCTACACTGATGTATTCCTTTTGCTTAGAGCCATTTCCTAGCATACACTTGCTCAGAATATATTAAACTAGATATTTTGTAGAGTTAAAGATCACTGCTAGTTATTCGTTGCACTGATATTTTTCCTACCGTATCGTAACTGTAGGAAATAGGATATAAAAGGTAGTCACTTTTTCATAATAAATAAATAAAATATCTCGACTGGTTAAAAAATTAATGAATACAGTAATATAAATAAAGATTAAGTTTCTACACAGCAATATAGCTCAGGTTTTATAATATATGTATATATATATATATATATATGTATATATATATGAAAAGAAATGAACTGTGAACGACCATAGTCGTTTTGGTAAATGTCCGAAATATATCTAGTTAAGTGCCACTGCCCTGTATGCCCAACATCAATGTTTTTTTAAAGTTCAGTGCCCTTTACTGGTATACATTTGCCTGGTATGCCCTACATCAATGTTTTTTTTAAGGTCAAGTGCCACTTTTGCCCAGTTTGCAATTAACCAGTACTCCGAGAACTGATGTTTCTCCTAATCTATCCTCAGCAGATATTAAAATATCGAATAAATATAATAATATCAGCGAATAAATTAATATCAAATCGGATATAACAAATATTTCGGACATTCACCAAAGCGACTCAGTGATTCTTGACATTCACCGGTGAAAGTCGACATTCTCTTGATTTTGGTCATTCACGGTATATATATATATATATATATAAATAATAAA